TGGTGAAAGGTTTTCATTAAATCAGAAATACATGGTGCTTATCATACATACATTTCTCTTGCATTCGTTTCCCTTGCCATGTGGTAGTTCGAATGTTACTGAGTATTTTGTATAATAGATATGACACACAAAATCCTAATACTAAGACTTCTATTTATACTAATTCGACCATAACGGTCTTGCTATAGGATCATGCCACGTTTAGAACATGCAGGACAATGCCTCTTTCATCTTTCCACGTGTCCCCAAATGCTCCAACACATAACTTTCAAACTTCGAAAGTCCCGCTTCCATTTGAATTTCAAATGCTTTGGTGCTTCTCCGTTTCGAACGCTCTTCCTAGACACAGCCTTGTTGTTATTTCGAGACTTCTTTAGATATGTTTCCATAATTGCCACTCGAAGCTCTAAGCTTTGACACACTTATTCGAAACACTACTTCTGCTACTTCGAAACATGATGCTTTACCTCATTTCGATCAAAACGTTTAATTCATTTGGCTTCTAATAATATTATCAAAATCTTCAGCCAACAGGTGGCGAAATGGGTTTGTGTCCCTGATGGTGGGACGAATCCCCCAGGATAACCAATGGTTCCTGTATTTCCTAGGATCGAACTGTTAGTTGACATGCCACTTGTTCCGTTAGTGGCTACACTATTGGTAGAAGATGCAACCGACTGTGCGTTCGAAGGGATCACATTAGATGTTCCCATCGAAGCAGACATATTAGTGCCTGTTGTATGTGGGATATTTTGTTCCCCTTGTTGATTGTCTGGATTAGACATCTTGTTTAAACGTTTTCTTCTGGGTAAGGGTTGGTTGCTATTGGTTATTCTACCACTTCTAAGGTTCATATAACAACGAACTTATCACTCAGAAAGTACTTTTACAATGGTTATGCTCAACAATTCTTCAATTTGTTCTAAATTTCGTAATGACCAATGATGGTCCCACTGGGTGTGCCAATTTGTTTACAGTTATTTCTGGTAAACAACCGCTAGTCCTCCAAACTATCAAATAATCTTAATGACTGTTATTTAATCTCTCTGGTAACTTGCAGGATCGACTAGATTAATCCTATGGTGTATTGGTCATTTGGATAATTCTCATTGTAGAACTGATATTCATGGTTGGTATTAGGGATGTCAGTTTGGACCTGTTAATGGGGATCCCCGCGGGGAACGCCCCGTTCGGGGCCCCAAAGATGGGGAATTTTCCCCGTGGGGGCGGGGATGGGGAGAAAAATTCCCCCGAGAGCATTTCGGGGACGGGGACGGGGAATACACCCCCCGCCCCGCGGGGACCCCGCCCCGCCTATTATTTTAATATAGTTAATTTAATATATATATATTTTAGATTAGGTTTTTTAGTCATTTCCTTTATGTTTATTTATAAAAATAAATAAATAAATATTCATGTATTTATTAAGAGAGAGAAATGTAAATATTATTTTATGTTCCATTAGTATTTTTAATAAAAAATAATAAATGTCAAATACTAGTATTTTTTAATAACATAATAAATATGTGAATTCTTTGTGCTTTTTATTTTTATAGAAAATATAAACATTTTAAAAAAATAAAATATTAATGAATAAATGTAGGATCTATGGGGATCCCCGCGGGGAACGGGGATCCGCGGGGAACGGGGATGGGGATAGAAATTCCCCCGTGATGGAGATCGGGGACGGGGACGGGGAATGAATTTGATGGCGGGGAAAAAGATGGGGAAGTGTCCCCCCGGCCCTGCCCCGCCCCATTGACATCCCTAGTTGGTATTTAGAATGTTGTGTACGTGTTTAACTTACTTCGATTACCCTATTAAAGATCTAATGACATGATCAAGTAAATACGTGCGAAACTAAATTGCATGAATAAAGGGTCAATTGTAAAGACATGTAAAACTGCAAAAAGACAAGTAAATAACTTCGAAGTATAAAAGCATGTAATGTAAAAGAGTTTCTGGAATGTAAAAGATTCGAAATAGAAAGAAAGCGTTTAAATTCAAGAAATCAGTAAAATGACTTTGGATGAAAAAGTATTCGAATGATAAAAGCATGAAGATAACAACATAAAAGGTATAAGAATCTCTGAAATGTAAAATACTCGGAATAAAAAGATAGCGTTTTAAATGCAAGAAATTAGTAGATGACTTTGAATGAAAAAGATTTTAATGTAAAGGCTTTTGAATGATATTGACATGAAGATAAAGGATAAACTGGAAATGATAAAGAGTTTTATTGAATCATAAATATTTGGTGTTATCATACGTACATTGTTCGAGCATTCGTTTCCCTAGCCATGTGGTATTTTGAATGTTTACTGAATTTTGTACAATAGATATGACACACGAAATCCTAACGCTAAGACTTCTATTTATACTACTTCGACCATAACGGTCTTGCCTATAAGATTCTGCCACGTTCAGAACATGCAAAGCAATGCCCCTCTCTAGCTTCCACGCGTCTTCGAATGCTCCAGCGCATATATTTTAAATTTCGAACATCCCGCTTGCGTTTGAATTTCAAATGTTTTGGCACTCTTCGCTTCGAACTCATTTCTTGGACACAACCTTGTTACCACTTCGACTTCTTTTGAATATATCCCCATAACTGTAACTCGAAGCTCCGAGCTTTGACATGCCCATTCGAAGCACTGCTTCTACCATTTCGAAACATGACATCTTGCTTTATTCCAACGAAACATCCAACTTGCTTCGTTTCGAACTGTATCATCAAAATCTTCAGCCAACACCTTCATGTTGATATTCTCATACTGCTTATATAGAGACTGAAGCTTCACCTTCTTCATTAATGCATCACCGTCGTAGCACCATGCAAGTATGTCCCACATAACCTTTTTCGTCATTGAATCAACACTTTTCTCAAACACATTCACATTCATACACTGATAGATGTAGAACAACGCTTATGATCTTTCTTCCTCGTATCTTTTTGCGTGTTTCTCTATTCCTCTATCACATCTGCTGCAACCAGAATATAACCATCAGTGACGAGATCAAGAACATCTTGAGCACCAAATAACACACACATCTGAATCATCCATCAATTCCAATTATTTCTATCAAATATCAGAAGCTTTATATTCAAGTTATTTTCGTCGTTCATCTTCCTTCTTGTGCATTGAAATTCACTCAGATCTCACCATACACTCGTGTTTCCCGATCCCTCAAAAATTAAGAAATGCAGTTATGTTACGATTTCGATCGTGAATTTAACACGAATTCAAGAAACGGAATCAATCAGACACGTCTCATGTACACTTATGTTTCCTTGTGAATCTAACACGAACTATAGATACTAATTATTAGTGCACAAGATTGAAGATGAAGATGGAAGAAGAGAGAAAAGAGAAAAACATAACAAACTCTCAATGGTGAAAATTCAGTTATGATTTCATTGTAAGAAACTTATTTAAATACACAAAAATTATACTGCTATATAAGCACAACTAAAAGTATGATAAGCTAAACTGACAACTTTTAGAAAACTACTATCTAATAACCTCAAAAACTTATAACTCTAACATCAGTTTCTAAATATAAAGTACTTATAATTCATTAAGAAGAAGAGTTAAGGGTAGTCTCACTCAAATGATATCTTTAATTCTCAATTAAGTTAACTAGTGTTTAAGACTCAAATTGTAAAGCTATTACTCTAACTTAGAACTCCTAAGAATATGACTCAAATTTAAGATCGATTGTCAAACTCATTTGTTGATAAAATCATATTTTTCACTTAACGAATTCAATTAAATTAATGTTATTTTAAATTTAAAAATGAACAAATCGAATTTGGTTAAGAGCCATTTGAATTAGACCATATAAATGATAGATGTTTCACATTGTCGACAAAGAAAAATAGATGCTTCGATTTTACAACACAAACTAAAACATAAGACAATAAAATTAAAATCATTATATCGATAAATATTACTAATTAGTAGTATACTATAAATAGTAAAATTGAAAGTAAAGTATCAATTTTATGTTTATAATATGTATAAAATAGTAAAACATTAGATTCACTAAATTAATAAACACTATTTTTTTACAAATAATTTCTTAATAATATTTAATAAATATTTTTCAAGATAAACAAATAATTTTTTTCATAATTTATATAAGATTGTCACATCTCTAATGAATTTTTAGTCAATAATAAAAATATTATATTGTATTTAAACACATTTTTATTAATAAAATGTCGTAAGTCTTTTGCTAAAATAATACTAATTAAATATGTGACCGACTTACTTATATTATGTGTCATAATATAACATTCTAACATCATTATCATTATTTGTTACATCAATTTATCCAAAATACTTAATAATACTAACAACCCAAAAATAATTGTACCGACAACTACAATTTGAAATTTTAAAACACATCACCATCAAAATAAAACCAAGAAAATAACTAGAAAAAAAGAGTCCAAAACACAATCAATACAATTAGCCAAAACAAAAACTAAAAATCCAAAACACAATACAATAAAACAGTAACCAAATATAAATAAATATCTAAGTGGACCTTCACACATACAACAAGCACCATATTCTCTTTGGGTTTTCAAAAAGAAAAAGTGTCCCTTGCATTTTGTAACTAACACGATTCATGTCATGCATTTTGTAAGGACTAGAATAATCCTTTAATTCTTTTTTTCTTTTTCTTTACTATTAGGCTGTTATCGGGCTCGTGCGACTCAGACAAGTGTACTGATTAAGTGTTGTTTTTGTCAGGAATCGAATTTAGTATCGTCATTAAAATAAGTGTATTGATCAAGCGTTATTTCTGTTAAAAATTGAATCTAACATTTTTTTAGATGTCATCATTTGTAGAGACCTATTTATCACTCGAATCTAAATATTTGATTTTTTATTTTTCTTTTTAAACTCAAATAATTCATACTGTTACCTAACATTCAAAAACAAAACCAACTCTACCTTCACTCCCAAACTGAAAAAGCTTTAAAAAAAATGGCAACCAACGAACACGGTCAAGTTGAATCCGAGCCAAACCCGAACCAGAACCAAACTCCAACCCCCTCTCCACTCCTCGAAGACTCCGACGAACTGAAAAAAGTCTTCAACGGTTTCGACGCCAACGGCGACGGCAAGATCTCCGCCAACGAGCTCGAAACCGTTCTCCGAACACTCAGATCCGACGTACCACAGGAGGAAGAACTCCGTCGCGTGATGGAAGATCTAAGCACCGACCACCACGGTTCCATCAACCTATCTGAATTCTCCGCGGTCTGCCGCTCCGAGACTCCTGACGGCGGTGGCGGTTCAGCGCTTCGCGATGCTTTCGATCTGTACGATCGCGACAAAAACGGACTTATTTCGACTGAGGAGCTCCATCTGGCGCTGGACCGCCTCGGAATGAAGTGCTCCGTCGAGGAGTGCAGGGAGATGATCAATTACGTTGATTCTGACGGCGACGGTAGTGTTGACTTCGATGAGTTCAAGCAGATGATGACAGCGAAGAGCCGTGCCGTTAACGACTCTGTCAAATAGAAGTAAAATTTGAAGTTTCGGTCTATCTTCGGTAAAAGCTTCCACTTCTACTGTACGTTTTGTTTTTAATTAACATAAATAAATGATGAGCGAATTGCTCTGAAACTTTATAGATTAAAATCGAAATCGAAAATAGGAATTTGCTTATGCATAGTACTAGTATATCAAAAAATTAGTAATTGGAATCAAACTTTTGTAGCGTTTGCTTTCATTTTTTAGTTTTAACAATCAGCTACAACTTTATCTTATTATGATTCTTATTATGGTTTGTTAAATTATTATTTTTGGAATTTGATAAACACCCTGTACTAGTAAAGTTCATCATTGGTAGTATTTCACTTTGTACAAGTAAAAGTACACCATTGGTAGTATTTCACTTCGTACAAGTAAAAGTACATCATTGGTATTTCGGCAAAAGTACATTATTGGTATTTCGGCAAAAGTACATCATTGGTATTTCGGCAAAAGTACATCATTGGTATTTCACTTTGGGGTGGACAAAATAGTTTGAATAGATTCATTAATTTTTTTTTAAATAGATTGTGTCGGATTGGATGTCGGGTTGAATAAATTATTTAATTTTAAATTATTATTTTTAACTGGTAAAAACCGAATCTGGTTAAATTTAATTAATATTTATTTTATTTATTTTTATTATTATAATGGTGATCCATTATAAAAATAAGATTCATGATATTTTTCAATTTGTTATCATTTTTATAATCTAATGATAATATTTATATCACAAAATTACAAGATATATAATATGAAATTGACTCTTATATAGTTTGTGATTTAAAGTATGATAATGAACAAAAAGTATTAAATGATATTGGAAATATTATCGTAATAATAGTGTTTTCATCAATAATAAAAGAAAATTATTCTCTTTAGACTATTCTAAAATTTTGATAGTTTTTTTAAAAAAATCTAAAAAATGAATGTGTGAATTTTATAAAAAATTGGACATTTATGAGTTTAGCTCAATAAATATTAAACCGACTAAAACCAACCGACTTATCTGTCAAATTGATTTAATTAAATCAGTCAAAAACCGAAATTTTATCGATGTATCTGTCAAAAACTAAAATTTTATCGATCGAAATTGGACCTTTAGAATGAAACTGCAGCTTGCATCGGATTTGAGTTTTAGGCCCGATATCGATCCAAATCGATCGATTGTCCACCCCTAATTTTACTTATGTAAACTAGGGAAACTCATTTGGTTTGCTATGGAGATGTCTCTCTCATCTCCTTATGCGTTGTTATTCCTTGTATGACAATTCTGATACGCCTTACCCGAAAGTCCACTAAAAGTCATACGCCTTACACAAAAGTTCATTAAAGCTCTGTTTAGATTGATGGAATTAGATGGACCGGGGTAGAATGAGATATAATAAAATGAAATTCTATTGTTTGAATAATTTTAAAACGGATGGAGCGGAGTGGAATGGAGTGGTATATATTTTATTTTATTCTATAACTTACCACCAGATTCCTTCCCATGTGATTTAGGCGGAATGATCAACTTACCTTGTTCCGTCCTAAAATTTCCAAACAGTGGAACGATATCTTCGTTCTACTTCGTTCCATTCCGCTCTAACCCACTTTGCCCCCGCTTCATTCCACTCTGTTCATTTCATGATATTTAAACATAGCCTAAAAGTCATTTAATATCATTGATCTGGACTGTTATACACACTTAATGGTGATGGAGAACTATATTTGATTGTTCCAAATCTCTAATGTCCTCCATCAATAATAAATGTATTCTCAATCATATATCAATTTGTTATTGACTTGTGTCAGACTTGCATCATTATAACTATTTTGGCTCATTAGTTATTTTAGCCTAGTCTCGCTCTTTTGGATAAATTATTCAAATAGAGCCCATAGGATCTGGGTTGACTCTGACCTGCTCCAAAAATCGATCTAAAAGACTAGACATATACGATACCCCTTAAGTATGAGCTTCATAAGGATGACATATTTTCCTAAAGCCTTTCATGAATCATAGATGTGCACATTTCCTCAAACATGAATCGTATAAGGGAGAAATGTTTTCCTCAGGCCTATCAAAAACTCAGGCATGTACATAACTCTTCAAGCATGAGTCGTGTAAGGGCGAAGTATTTTCTTAAGACAATTAACGATTGTCTAGTGTGCCTTAGTGAACATTCATTCTTGGGAGAGTTTGGCCCAATTTTTTCGGGCATGGTGCCATTTGATCACGTATGGTTAATATCTCTTGGTTGCTTGTCCTCATTTTTGAACATTTCTTTGCACTGGTTTCAGTCATGAAGACCAATCCGATCCATGAAACAGGTTTATTGGATGCAATTTCTTGATATTCTTGGGCATGCTTATGATATTTTGGGCGAGCCATTGATACTTTGGCAAATCCATGATACATTGGGCGAGTCGTTGATACTTTGGGCTAACTTTTGATATTAGGGACTGTTGTACCCCAAAACTTTCCCTCTCATTTATCAAGAATTTGCTCACAAGATCTCCTTAAGCACTAATGACCAAAATCAGGGTTTGAGATTGCACAAGGATATTTGAACTTCCAATGCCCCATATGACTTTCATGGATCATTATGGACCCTCAATATTACTCATGTCAAGTTTCAAGCTTTGGATCACACTTTTGCTCAGTCAATTGAGCAGTTGACCTAAAAATCAACTGTATTGGGAAAAAAGTCAATTGTGGCCAATTTACAGTCAAACTTCATAATTTTTGATCCACATCAACATTTTAAACTCATATGTATCATTTTATCAAGTTTGGACTATAATTCCTCAAAATATTTGATCAAATCTTCAAAAGGGCAAAATGGTCAAAATTAGGGTTTTGACTGGGAAAGGGCAATTTCTGATTTTTGACCTAGAAAATGATCAATTGGCTTAAGGCATGATCTCAAGAGTCCAATTTCATAATTTTGACCTAATAACATAGCTTAAAACATTGCTCAAGTCCAATGGATTGACAGATGAATTTTCAGTCAACTGATCAAAAGTCAATTGTATACTGAAAAGTCAAACTTTGACTTTTTGGTCAAAATCAAATGTCAAAGATCATAATTCATCAAAGCATGTCAAAATATGAAACTTATTCATCAAGAAATCAAAAATTCAAGATTTCATTTTGAAAATTTAAAATTTCTAAACTTAGAAATTTTTTCCAAGTGTTGGAAATTTCTTATTTTTTCACAACTTTGAGCAAAATTTTCACCATGATGCAAGATGATTCAAAAGAAACTTTCAACATTAAAGTTGTAGATCTCTATGAAATCTACAAAATTGCTTTACACAACTCCTTCCAAAAGTGCTTGGATCTCAAGTTATAATTTTAAGAACACATGGTCATGAAACAAAACACTTAGTGAAATTTTGTCCTAATTTGGTCAGGATTTTGACCTAACTTCATGGCACTTTTTCATATAGTTCCAAGGGGAATTTTCAAAATTGATTCAAAGAGGGGTTGTGTAGAACATTACAAGCTTTCCAAGATGTCCAATAACTCCTTGAGATTATTTTTGAGTAGGGAGAATCGATGAGATGAAGTTATGGTTTTCACACTTGAATTACAGGTCATTTTGTGATGAACAAGATTCAAAATTCAAACTTATGCTGCATAACCTCTACTTTGCAAGTCTCAAACTCTTTAGGCACTCCATAATTAATTTCTTGCACAGCTGTTAGAGGTTTCAATTCAAGCATTCAACGCAAGGCCATGCTTTATATCCATTTTGGGAAGAAAGTGCACAATACCATTTTGATAAAGTAGCTTTTTGCATAAAACTTGTTCTTGAGCCTTGCAATTTGTTTCTTCTGATGATACAAGTACCATAACTCAAGAGAAGCTTATCTAGACACTTACAATCACTCAGCCCACGCTTGTACTTCCTCTTGAAACTTGCTTTCTATTGGCTGAAGATTTTGATAATGTTATTAGAAGCCAAATGAATTAAACGTTTCGATCGAAATGAGGTAAAGCGTCATGTTTCGAAGTAGCAGAAGCAGTGTTTCGAATAAGCATGTCAAAGCTTGGAGCTTCGAGTGGAAATTATGGGAACATATCTAAAGAAGTCTCGAAATGACAACAAGGTTGTGTCTGGGAAGTGCATTCGAAACGGAGAAGTACCAAAGCATTTGAAATTCAAATGGAAGCGGGACATTCGAAGTTTGAAAGTTATGTGCTGGAGCATTTGGGGACACGTGGAAAGAAGAAAGAGGCATTGTTCTGCATGTTCTGAACGTGGCATAATCCTATAGCAAGACCGTTATGGTCGAATTAGTATAAATAGAAGTCTTAGTATTAGGATTTCGTGTGTCATATCTATTGTACTAAATACTCAGTAACATTCAAACTACCACATGGCAAGGGAAACGAATGCAAGAGAAATGTACGTATGATAGCACCATGTATTTCTGATTTAATGAAAACCTTTTACCATTTCCAGCACTTTCCTTTATCTTTTTGTCAAATAACATTTACAAGTTTTCTCATTACAGTCTTTTCACTTCGAAATCTCTTCTTCAAAGTTTTACATTTTAATGCTTTCTTCACATTTCAAGCACTTTACATCTCAGAAAACTGTCATATTTTCCATACCTTTACCTTCAAGTCTTATCCTTTGAACGCATATTTTTACTTAAAGTCATTTACAGATTTCTTGCATTAAACACTTTCTTCATATTTCAAACCTTTTACGTTCCAGAGATCCTTTACATTAACTGTTTTATAATTCGAAACCATTTACTTGACTTTTATGCAATTTTACATGTCTTTACAATTAACATTTATTCATGCAACTTAGTTTCGTACACGCACATTTTGATTACATCTTTAGACTTTTTGAGAGAGAAATCGAAATAAGCCAAACGCATATACAACACTCAAATATCAACCATGAATATCTGTTCGATCGTGAGAGTAACCTTAATGTCCAAGGAATCCTAGGATCAATCTAGTCGATCCTGTGAGTTACCAGAGG